TGACAATTTGATTTTTGATTGGTTAATTATCACGGGAAATCACGGGTAGATCTGCGAAAATTGACCAATCATATGAACGTCTTCCTATGAGCCAGTGTGCCATTCCTGCATTCTGTCATTATCGTTATCCGATCATCTTAATTCTTGGTTATTATCCGCTTACGTGGATAATAACTGATTAATTCCTAGGTACTTCTATACTATTTTTTCAAATTAAAGCTTCGTATTTTAAAGTTTAGCTTTACTACAACCACAAAACTTCTTTCATTTACTTTCATATTCTTTGGACAACAATTGTTACTTTTCGTTAGCAACTCGAATAGTTTAAAAAATTCGGTGCAACATTAAAAAGGGTAAAAAAGATATATAATCAAAAAGAAATATAAAAATTCCGGATAAGCCGAATCTGAGAACAGGACAATAAACGAGAAAAAATAGTATAGAAGTATAAATAAGAACCGGTGAATAATATGGATGCTCTGACGTTCTTTTCATATGTTAAAAAAAGCAGTTATATAATATTAGATTCACTGCAAAGTTGATATAACATATTGATAGAAATCTAGTAACTTTATCAAGGAACAACATTTTTTTCGATCCATTCCCCCTTGTTTAAATCAACACTTTTCTGAAGTTTCCAAATAGTTCTATTATCGTTATGTGTAAGCTTTAATTCAAGATGATCAACATAATCAACCTTCATTACCACCAATCCAAAATTTTCTAATGCTTTATTAACCAACAATTTTTCATCCATGCTTTTACCTATTGGATCAAGTTCTTGTACTACGTTTTGTATTTCACCTTCATTTATTTCTTGCGCTGATGGGGGCTTTAAAAAACTCGCACGTAGATCAGAAGACATTTCGTACCAATATCTTTTTCGTTCTTGTTCCCAATCAAATTGATCAATTAGAGATGTTGAATTGACGGAAAAAGAATAAGGAAGCAACAAATCTGATGGAAAATGAGTAAGAATGGGATTTGTTGGTGGTGGTAATACATATGCGTCTCCCGATAACCTGAATTGGTCATTGGTTGATGGAAACCACCTATTAAACAACATATTAAAAGGTTTAATTAATTAATTGATTAATTTCAAGTAATAAATACATAGTATTTACCAACAAACTTCAAACCCAGGATTCTCTAGCAAATGTTTTACTTTAGGCGTTCTAATATCTGTAGTTATAACTAATAAATCTGTCTCGATTTCAGGATTTATTTCTTTCAAACTAGTTTCCGATGATATGGAATTTAAATATTCGATTAATTCATTTTCGTGAATTCTATTATTTTTTTCACCTAAAAATCCACGAAAAATCACAGTACGAGTTGTTGGTCGACATGTTGATGCATTAAATGTTGAAAACTATTAAAGATTTGAATTTTTTTTTAGTTTTGAATAATTTAACATTTAACGTTAACCAGAAATTGAAGTAAAAATTAATCCTAAATACCTGCATTGGTAGTATTGGTATAGTACTTTTCAAATTTTTAATATTCTCTGATATTAAAGATTTTAATATTGGTTTCCAAGGTGCCGATGACATGATCGATAATTATTTATTTATCGTTATTGAATAAAAGGTTCTTAAAAAAAATTGTTACTTCACATCCTTTTTAAACTGACAATGCAATGATCTTCCCATAAAAATTTTACTGTCACGTGCAGTGTTATGGCGCACGAAAAAACTTTAAGTTCGTTTAAGTTAGGGTGCTTTCTATAACGATAAAGTTACGTTTGCAGGTAACTTTTACGGCCGTTATCACGTGATATAATTATCATTCGATCAAGGACCGGAAAAAATTTGGATATCAAATTGAAAAAATTTATTTGGATAACGATAAAAATTTGGATATAATTTGGA